CCTGGCACGATTTCAGGCATCAGACGACTTGTCACCATGTACAGTCGCGAGCAGCAGTCGGATACCATGGGAAGAGGACGTAACAGATGAAGAAGTCCGAGCATGCACCATTGGTTGCGAAAATACGGCCCCAGGAGCAGATGGAGTCCCCTTAAACCTGCTGGAGGCGTGTTCGAATACAATCGGGCCTTGGATTACCCAACAGTTCCGAGCTTGCATTCTCCTTGGCACCCATCCACAGTGTTTCAAATTAGCTGAAGTTGTCCTCCTTCAAAAGAACGATAGAGACCCAACGACAATCAAGGGTTGGAGACCAATCGCTCTTCTCTCATGCTTGAAAAAAGGGTTAGAAAGGCTCTTAGCTAAGCGGATGGCACACCTTGCAGTTATCCATGATGTAGTCGGCCAGCAACAGTTTGGTGCACTGCCGAAGCGCTCAGCAACGGATCTGGTCTCATGTGTGGTCCACGACATCGAAGAAGCAAATTCACAAGGATGGGCAGCTACTTTTGTAACGTTGGACGTTCAAGGAACATTCGACGCGGTACTCCATAATCGATTAGTGAGGAGGATGCAGGAGCAGAGATGGCCGGAGTCTATTCTCAAATGGACTAGCTCCTTCCTCGCCAATCGGATGATTCAAGTGCGATACTATGAGGGAGTCACTGCTAAGAGCGAGCTAGTGTGCGGAATTCCACAGGGCTCACCGATCTCGCCACTTCTCTTCCTTCTGTACATGTCAGAGCCCATACGAAGTGGGACCCCAGGTCTGAGGTTTAGCTACGCGGATGATATCGGTATCCTTGGATTTGGCCGGACGATTGCAGAGTTCGCAGTCGTAGCACAGGACGAGGTCAATAATCTACTAGACTGGGCTCGAAATAATGCCGTCGCTTTTGATACAGACAAGTCCGAAGTCATACAATTCCCCGGACGATACCGCGAAACATCGATTGGAATTTATGTCAACGGAACCCTCATAGAACCATCGCAAAATGTCCGCTGGCTTGGTGTGTACCTCGATCCTCGACTAAACTTCAAACACCACGTCACAACTTGGTCTGGAAAAGCGTTAAAAATTGCACAGCACATGCTTCGCTTCAATACAGTCTACCGAGGAGCCGCTCCTGGGGCGTTTGTTAAAGCGATCGACACATGTATCGTCCCAATCGCAACGTACGGAGCTGACGTCTGGTGGCCTAGCTTTAGACGCATAACAGTACGAGGGATGGTGACACCGCCCACTGCTGGCCTATGTAGTATCATTGATAAGGCTGTCTTAATGGGTCTTAGATCAGCACTACCGGTAATGAGGACAACCCCCAACGCGGTACTACATAGGGAAGGAGGAATAATAACCCGGAAAATCATTCTCGAAGGAAACCGACTTCGCCTCTCTGCCAGAATGCAAACACTTGACGACCGCCATCCGCTCAGGATCCGTGCTGCAGTTTACCCAAATATCGGTACGCAAAAATATAAGAAGCACAATCGAAAATCTGCGCGTCCTGAAATTCAAATGTCACGGGCTCAGCGTGCTTATAGACAGCTACCAGAGGCAGAGACCGCAGAACCTCTTGCCTCACCATTTTATCAATCGCGGCCGAGTTCGAAGGTTGGTTCGAAAAAAGACTAAGTAGAAGCCTGTAAACTTTGGATCACTAATGTGCCAAAGTCAGAAATCTGTGCTTACTCGGACGGAGCATCGGAGGGAAAGGGACGCTCAGCTTGGGGGTTTGTCCTAAAGCTGGATGGGAAAACTTTTCAAAAAGGAAGTGGCATAAAGCGCGGTGGAGAGGCTTTAGATGCAGAGATTATGGGGGCACAGGAAGCTCTTAAAGCAGCGTTGGGTCACCTAAGAGGGAAGGAGTACCTGGCGAAGGGAACGACGCAGTGCATTAATGTGTTGATGGATAGTCGACATGCAATAAATGCACTGAGCACGGGCAGGTCCTCGACCAGCCACAAGGAAGTACGAGAGTTTCGCGAATTATCTGGGCTAGCTCAGGTAAGAATAAAGTGGTTACCAGGACACTCGGGAATAGATGGAAATGAGAAAGCAGACGCAGCGGCCAAATCCTCCCTACGAACGCTTCCCAGCGTAGAAACAGAGCCAGCAACCACCACGACAGCATTTTAACACCAAAAATTGTATCGACAGCGACAGACTTTGCTCGACAGCTGATGGAATGAAACTTGCCCGTCACGGTATCGTGAGCTAGATCTGCTTATGCGCCGTCGTAAACCACCAGAACTGGGGCTTTCCAGGCTACAGTTACGACATCTCATTGCAGCCCGTACGGGCCACGGCAATTTCGCAGCGTACCATCGTCGCTTCAACAATCCGCACGCTATTACAGAGTGCACCTGTGGGGAGGAAACCACCCCTACCCACTTCATACATTGTCGACTCAACGCAAATATCACGCGTCGAATCAGAGGGTTATTGTCACACAATGCCTTCTTACATAAGGTACTCGGGCCTAAGTGCTTCGAGAGCTTCAAACAATTTGCGCAGGATACTAATTATTTTGGGTATTCTCCTGTGCATCCATCTCCTACTCTCAGTGGAGATCGAATATAACTCGTCAGGAAACTAAACCTGACCAAATGGGAATCGAGGCAAGGAGTATTGCTTCCCATTCTAAATTATTTGCAATTTATCTTTTTCTTTTGTTAATTTTGGGAAAAGGAGTTCGCGTCGGCGCATATTTTTAACTTACTGCTGGTTTTGTGGTGGTTCATGCGGTGGAATCAAGCTAGGTATGTCTTAGATGTAGTTCTTGCTGTGAACATCGGTCCTGTACTAATAGTGGATTTGGAGCTTTAGCTTAGGACTTGAATAAAACAACAACAGTTTTTTGAAATTCGAATTTTCGAATAATCACCTTTTCCTCCTCTCCCTCCCTCTCGCGCTCATCGCATTCCTTCGGTAAATTGTAATCAAGTCACTGGCATTTTCATTATGCCACCTGTTCGAAAAAAGCTCCCCAACTCAATGTTGGACAACGCGAGGGTCCGCCCGAGGGCTCCTGCAAAAACACCTGTCCTCGCGCAAAAATTATCAAGCCTGTTTGCGAGTGAGGCCTTTATCCCTGGGAAGTCTTCCACACTTCCCGATCAAGAGATGACTGATTCTGACCCGATCAGAACAGAAACAAATGGTCAATAGATCGCGAAACCCGCCGAGATGGCCCCTGAGGCAAGCAACTCAAGGAAAGAAAAGGAGGTCGTCAGAGAAAGGATGACCGAACGTGCAGAATCGTCTGCCGTAAAAAATGCTGTGCCAGCCTCAAAAGGCACAGCATCGACATCAGCAATGGAGTTTCCTCCGAAGCTGCATACCGTGATGGAGGCCGAAAAGCGACGTACGACGCAAGTTATGGACCGCCTCACCATCTGCTCGACTGCGATAAACAGTGTTGAAGCAGCACTTTCGCATCTTTCGATCGGCGATAATAAAGAATTCGTAGACGGCATAAAGGTCTACCTATGAGCAGCTATTGGCCAGTTTGTAAAATCAGGCCCAAGGATCACACTACCAATTCTCCCTGCTCGCCCCAATAACCCTCTTCCGACGAGGGCTCCAGAAATTAGGGTTCAAAACCCTTCGACGACCCAGGCTCCGGCACCAGAGACGACTTGGGCCACAGTAGCCCATGCAGGTCTAGGCTGCAGCACCAGGCCGTAGACTACAAAGGCCTACTGCCCGCTCCAAAAGCAAAAAGTGCCAATCCGAGGACAAAAGTCGACGCGAGACTATTTTAACGCCTCGAATTTAACCACCCTCACCGATGCCTATCACCAGCTGGCGTAAGATCAGCTGTGTCACAGGTGCTTGGTACCGCTGCCGACGACATTACGTCGGTTCAGCGGGTCAAAACAGGCTTTGCACTGACAGCAAAGAATGAACTCGCTCCGAAAGAGCTCCTAGATTCCTCCATATCACGGAGCGAATCTGTAATCAAATTGGAACCAGCATCAAATCTAGTTGCCATACAAATTGCCACCGTCCCGGAAACAATTCGAACTCTGGCTGGCCCCATTGCCGTGACGGCAATGATGGTTGCCGATGAAGTCACGCGATAGATCAAACCAGTTCCTTTTATTGTTCATCCTCACGGGACCAGCAAACCCGGGGTGCCACACCAGAACTGGCATGCGCTCTTCCCTCGCGAATCAAATCTGCAGCCGAAATAGCCATTCAGACGATGCACGGCTCAAAGAACGACGTCTATATGTCGGACAGATCGGGTTTTGGGATTCTGGGATCCGAAGAGGAGGTTTAAGGTTACGGCCAGCCTCAGTGAAGTCGTCGAGGCTTGAACACACTAACAGTAGGATACCAGATGGCAAAAGGGTGCCTGCGAGCTCATCTTCTGCTCTCAGCGAAGATCAGAAATTTTCACTCGGAAGATGTGACAGGAAAAGGAACGGGCGAGAAGCGCGGGATCCGGACCACATGAAAAAAATCTTCTAAATTTGATTTCAGTCTTTGGCTCTTAGTTTTGATTTTAGTTTTTGATTAAAGTTTTGTTAACTTCATCATTTTTTGAGATCCCTGCGCTTGGAATGAGTTGGGCCTGTACGCAGTGATCCTCGCCGGCTCCACCTGTCTTTGACCCATTGTGGAAAAATAGCGTTAGCTTAGGACAAAAACAATAAAACAAACAAACAAACTGTTAGGATATGACTGCAAATTCACGGGATTAAAATCGATGGGGTCAGATTTTCGAAAATGATGATATTTTTTTCGTTTTATTTATTTTTATTTATTTTTGTTTATAAATACATTTAAAATTATCTGAAATCTTAGTGCATATATTTTAATTGTTCTGAGGTTTAATCTAAAAGTCAAATCTTTTATATCGAGAGTCTATATCTGCCATCCTAGGTCCTTGCATCTAGATACTTGACTCGGCTTAAAACTTTCCCTACAAATTTGTATCCAGCGATGATGATATGAAGAATTTGATGTCTGAATGAGGTCTTCAAAATTTTCAAACTTCTAGTCGTTCAAGAAGCCCCTCCACATCCTCAACGAGCTCATCCACACCACCGACTTCTCTAGGTCCATCTAGACCGGTGGGTGGTAAGGCCCAGTCTGGAAGGGGGCTAACATACTTCCAAGCACCTCTAGCATCTTCGTATCGCAGACTATGCAGCCACAATATAAGCTCTTGTTCTCCAGGATCAGTGTAAAGCGGTGTCTGACAAGTCTCACACAGCTGGCCACTCAGTTTTTCTGCCTTTTTTTTGTTATATGCGTCCACCATTTCATCATGGTAGGCAACAGCACTTGCAACTTCAGATTTACCCATTCGTGAGAGACGAGTGATAATATCTTCATCGGTATTTATTGAAGCATCTGCATCATTCGCACCAAGATCTGTCCCCCAAACGCGCTGGTTACCGTAGATTGGATCATTAACTATCGGGTAGCCAAGAAACTGAAGATGAACACGGATCTGGTGGGTTCGGCCGGTGACTGGTAAGCATCGGACAATGGAGTATCCCTCTTGATTTTCAAGGGATCCATTGTGAGAACTTCCATGCCTAGAGGGAGAGTAATATGCAAGCTTTTTGAAAGCTGTTCGCGCAGATTTTCCGTTTGCTCGAACCCTATTTAAGCCTAATTTAGGAGATATCTGAAGAATTGGCTGATCGCAGATAACTTCTCCTGGGGGAAAGTTGCCCTTAACTCGAGCTATATACTCCTTGCGGACTGTTCGTTCAGTTATTTGTAGGCTTAGATTTTCGGCAGCCTTGGCGTGCTTCCCAATGAACATCACCCCACTTGTCAATCTATCGAGTCTATTGCAAGGTAGTGGGTTCCATTGATGACCACGTTCAGCTCGTAAGATTTCGACAACAGAGTTATAGTTGTAACGACCGGCAGGATGAACCGGAATACCGGATGGCTTATTAATGACAATCATATCATCATCTTCATGTAGAATTGAAATTGGAAGAGCAGTTACCGGTGGTTCATGGCGATGTAAGGTATGAGATATCATATCTCCATTCTTCACAATGTATGCTGTTGACTCGACTGCCTTTCCATTGACAACGACGGCTCCTTTTTCAATAGCATCTTTCTGTGCGTATTAGAGTTAATTTTTCCCAAGGCCAGTGAGCTAATATCTCACATAGTACTCAAGAGGGCGATCCCTAAACTCTTCGGCAAAAATCTCTAATAGCTCTCGTCCTCGCCATCGCTGCTTACAGTATGTGTTGTAGGTGAAGTGATATGGCGCTACGCGTCTTAAACCATCCTCGAAATAATATGGTCTTGGCCAAGGATCACAAGGTGGCACAATTACTAGAGGAGGTTCGATGAAAGGTTTCTTCTCTTCCGGTACAGTATACCCCAAAGAACAAGGTATCTTTACCAAAGCCATGTTAACATTTGTTCTCTTGGCAAGCAGGGCCAAAACCCGAGCTGAGGGCGCCAGTGAGTAGAATTAACGAGGCTAGGATTGGCTCTGATAGATTGAATTAATTACGGGTATTCCGAAATGGGATTTCGACATTTCACAGGCGGGCGTGTAGCGCATAGGTCACGAGATTCTTCCCATCTATAGCTCAAAGTAGTTTAAGATTTTCACTTTCCCTATTTGACCGAAAACGCACCGACAAGATACAAAGAATTAGGTATTGGTCCTATTATTAAGATCACCATTGAGCTCGCTCGTCTTGGGCAACGCCCAGTAGGATATCTTTTGGGCTGCACGATATGAACATAGTGATTTTGCAGGCTACCACCGACAGTTTCAGCACGAAAACGCCGCCGGCAAAGACGAATTCTTCACCTTCCAGTCGTGCCGGTGTAATCGCTCAGTTTGCTCTGCATATCTGAGATAGCCAAGAATAATGGCATCCGACTCGAAGTCGAAAGCACTCACAAGCACATCTAAAATCGACGACTTCTCGTCAATGTCGGATCTATCATTCTCACGCGAGTCCTCTACCTCAATCTTACTACAACACCTCGCCTCGAATACCGATAATGGCGTTACTCCAATTTCAATCGGGTATTTACCTCATCAAAAACCGGCCATCTCCCACTACACATTCACGATGCTATGTATACCCGCGAGGAAGAGCCCAAGTCATAATCTACTGAGCTCGAATTTTGGTGTATGGGGGAGCGTTGCTCTAATGGGGCTTCACATCTTGAGGGAGGATAGGCAGCTGGGACGTGGGACGAAAGAGTGAAGAGGTCACAAATGGGCATGCTGCGACGCATATTTTTCGAGTATTTTCGACTTACGAGTATTTGTGGGCGCAGAGGCAACGATTTAGGATAGTGCTACCGACACTCTAAATTTTGTTGGCTGGAGAGGGGAGATATCGAAGGGCTAAGGGCTCCTCTTAGTGTATGATCGAATGAGGACTTGTGAGGGGTGGTTCTGTTTGAGGGAGCTGTATGGGAGGCATAGGAGGGAATATACTACTGGTATAGGTATCGTTGGCCTATAGGCAGAGAGGACCTGCATGTCCTACATAGTCATAGACTCAGACAGGACAATAAAATGAATTAAAAAAAAAAAGTGATTAAGGAAAAGTTTAACCGCCTTGGTTTGGCTGAGATTTGTAGCTGATTCACTAGTAGCTCCTCTTGATATATATTGGTGTATATGGTATTATACTATTGTTATCTTTATTTAAATGGTTGGTGTCGCTGAGAGGGGCTGTGTTATATCTGGGTGATATCATAATAATATTTGAGGGATACGAATGATATCCTGTGGGTAATCTTATTGTGTATGGTAAGTTAGAAGTTTGTTTGCTTGACAATTCACCGATCTCACATACTTGCAGAAAGCGCCATAGCCAGTCTCTTTTGGGAGTGTTAATAGGGTATATGTAACAATGGGTGGTATCTTGTTTATCACTAGTCTATTTCACTCTCCTTGGCCCTTTATCGTACATTACTTGAATCATAACCAAATATTAAATTGATTGTTTGTTGGAAATACAGTTTCCTGCTTTTCTTTCTATCGACCAATGTGGTTGCATGCATCTTGCCTGAACTATATTTCTGAGTTCGGGCAGGATCCCACATTTCTGATCCAATCGGACTCAACGTTAGAGTCTGCTTGAATCCCATTCTTCCCGAACAAATCCAGTCATTGGTTTGTTCGTACTTCTATTGCGTGACCCAGTATTCTCAGTCAGTGGATAATTATTTTCTGGTACGGGGTCCCACTTATTTATGCAGTCGAGTCGGTTCCGGGTAACCTCTATTTCTTATAATTCCACTGTATATATCATAATACCTGTAGTCTATTAGTAAATTAAGCAAACTGAACTTCTTCTCCGTTCTCAGGCAATTCTTACTCCGAAGTCTTCTCTATACTCTAACAGATTATGAGACCAAGTTAGCTCAACTTTGAACTTTCTCTTCCTCACACTCACCTCTACTACATCTTCTCAACCTTCTACAACCAAAATGGCATTTAACCAGATCATCAAATCGGTTCGTTCTCTCCCTACTTTGGACAAGTCTACCTAAACCCGTTGGGCTAGTCTATTTCGAATGATTCTCGTACAATTTAATGCGGAGTCCGTTATATGCGACCCTTCCGAAGCCGTCGCCGATACTAAGAAAGGCGAAAATAAAGATGTGGACTTGGGCGAAATTGACCATTGTGTCAGATTTGCTCTTCTTTCGGCCGTACCAGATGATACTTACCATTTGGTTGAAAATAAAAATACTTCCAGAGAAATGTGGATTGCTCTTGAGGATTTCTTCAAACCTGAGTGTGAGGTTACTCCTACTTCCTTGCTCAAGGATTTCTTTCGATTCACTATGCCTGATGGTACTAGTGTGGATCAATTTTCTGAAGAGCTTACAAAACGTCAACGTAGAATTGCTGCTGCAGATCCTTCTTTCTTCCCCTCTGATACTCATATGAGGGATTACTTACTTGACTACTTTGATTTTTGTAGCAATGGTCAATTCTCTGGATCAGTCACTTCTTTGAGACGAGACAAGTCCTGCACGTTTTCTCAGGCAGTCAACTCTCTGAGGTCGACAGAAACTACGATAAATAGTCGACAGTCTGGTCCATCTGCAGTATTCTTAACTAGTTCTACGAAACAAAATTCTCACCCTGATCCTAATTCTTCCTCGTCCAATTCTTCCAATAAGGACAAAACATGCGCGCACTGTCACCGTAAGGGTCACTTGTTTCCTCTGGATTTCTACGCCTGACGGCACAAAGTGGGCCGCCAAGCATCCAGAGAAAGCCGCTATAGTGCGAGCTATGTTCCAAAGATTCGGGAATAACGGCTCTTCCAAGGATAAAAAGGGAAAGTCTATTAAACTTGACGGTGCCTGGATGATGGAGGAACATATTTTTACTTCTGATGGATCAGGGAAGTGTAACGACGTTGTTCTTGATACTGGTGCAACGCACCATATCTTTCATGACAAAAGCTTGTTCTCTTCTATTTCTCCAATTGATAAGCGTGTCCAAACTGCTTCTGGTCAATTGCTTTCTGTTTCTGGAATCGGCTCTGTGGAAATTTCTTTGGGAAATTATCTCGATTCATCTTGTTCTCGTACTATGAAGCTAGAAAACGTCTGGTATCTTCCTTCTTGTACAAAAAATCTTGTTTTTGGCTCTCAAATTCTTTCTGCAGGTTACAAAATGCGGTTTTCTAACAGTGGGATTGGCATATTTGAAGCTAAAGGTCGTCTCACTGCAACCGCTCGTTTAAGGAATGGCTTATTTCATTTCAATGTAATTTCTCCTCCTGCTGTTCTTAGTTCTTCTCGTCCTACATTTTCTTGTCCTCTTTCTTCTCAACCCGAGGACCTCACACTCGCTTCGGATATCAACCAGGGACTACTCACAATTGTATCTAACATGGACGCTAATCGCCTTTTACACCATCGTTTTGCTCACGTCAGCCCCCAGATTCTCTCAAAGGTCGATATTTCACTAGTTAAACTACCTAATTTAAAATCACAGGAATTTTCGAAACTAAATATCTGTCCTAAATCTCTGGGTAACTGCGACGTCTGTCTTTCTTGCAAACATGTTGAGAAGATTAATCGCGGTCCATGCAATAAGTCAGATCAAACACTACAGCTTGTGCATTCTGACACTTGGGGAAAGTGTCGACATCGAAATTTTTCTACTCAAAGGTCTAAATGAAGTACCAGGTCACTTCTCCATCTATAGGGATTCTATAGAGCTTCTGACTGGTCATAAAATCAAGGCTCTTCGGACTGATGGTGGTAGCGAGTACAAGCTAATAAATTTTACTGGAATAACACGCCAAATTTCAGCTCCCTATACTCAACATCAGAACGGTGTTTCTGAACGCTTAAACAGGACCCTAGTAACTATGGCTAGGTGTATGCTATCACATGCTCATCTTCCTGTTCGATTCTGGGACGCTGCTATCTCGACAGCTTGCTACATCCGAAACCGACTTCCTCTCCTTGAAGGCAAGAAAACACCTTTCGAGTTGCTGCGCGGTTCCAAGCCAACTATCTCACACTTTCGTGTGTGGGGCTGCGTTTGCTACTCTTTAATCAATGAAAAAGATCCTCAAAGATCTAAACTCTCCCCAACTTCGCTACGGGGCATCTTTATTGGTTATTGCGAATCTTCCACGCAATATCGCATCTACGTTCCTTCAAAGGCCGGAAGAAATAAAATCATTATTTCGGCAAACGTTCGTTTTCTTGAAGACACTTTCTGGGATTGGGGCCAAACTTCATCTGAGCAATTTAGCGAGATCGAAGTGCCCCTCAATGACAATCCTACTTTTTTCTCATCCCGATAATTCTTACGACAGCTCTGACTCAGACTCGGGCGTGTCACCCTTTCATGATCCTTCTATTTAAATTTATTCTTCTCGTCCCTTGAATATTCAAGAGACTACTGATCAGGAAAATTCTTCTTCTGGAGTCATCATTTCTAATGCAACTTTGGAGCAAAATTCTTCTTATGTTGACTCACCTTCTCTTCGGGATACTCTTTCTCAGGATCAATTACTTTCTCGCCAGACTACTTGTCATCATTCTACATATGAGCCAGATTCTTCTACTTCTTCGTCTATGCAACTTGATCCTACTACTTTGTCTCCAAATTCTCTTTCTACTGCAGATATTTCTCAGGGTGTTAATCAAATCCAGACTACCCCTAGTTCTATTACTTCTAACCTTCCTCCGCTCAGGAGGAGCAATAGGATCTCTAAACCTATTGAGCCACGATCTGCATGGCAACCCAAGTCTCCTATTCTTTACGTTGGTGGAGATACTTCGATCCCACAATCTTACTCTGAAGCCATCAACGGACCTGATAAGGCCATGTGGGAGATGGCAATTCAGGAGGAGCTTGATTCTCTCTCCCAAAAGGGAGTATTTACTTCAGTAACCCATGTTCCTCATAAGAGGAGAGCTATTGGCTCGTGATGGGTTTTCACCGTCAAATCTGATGGTAGGTTCAAGGCCCGACTAGTTGCTCAAGGCTTTAACCAAATTCCTGGTGTCGATTATTTCGATACCTATTCACCAACTCTGCGTTTAGATTCTCTCCGAATACTACTCGCAATTTCTACTTACCGCGATTGGGAAATTCACCAAATTGACATCAAAACGGCCTATCTCGAGGGCGATATTCAAGAGCCTATATACATGAAATCGCCTCAGGGATGGAACGTGAGCGGTTTTCTTAAAATCAACAAGGCCCTATATGGATTAAAACAGTCTGGAAAAGCGTGGTATGATAAATTAGACTCTAAACTTCTTTCTCTTGAGTTCGAAAAGTCTACCTGCGATCACTGTGTTTACATCCACAAAATATACCAAATGGTTATAGGTGTATATGTTGACGACTTGGTAATTTGCGGCAAGCAACTTGATGATGTTAAAATTGTCAAGGCCAAACTTTCTTCTTTCTTTCCTGTCAAAGATCTTGGTGAGATCGACAGTATCATTGGGTGGAAAATTCTTCGCGAGCGCCCAACTCGTACTCTTCATATATCACAGTCCAGCTACTTACTAGACAAGATTAATTCTCTTGGGCTTAGTGATTCAAAATCCTATTCTTCTCCCCTCGATGGGTATGGTGGCATTCTTCCGCAGGCAGAGGGAGAACATCTGGCGGACGATTCCGCCTATGCTAGCGCGGTAGGCAGCCTTGGATACGCATCTATTGGAACTCGGCCAGATATTTCTTTTGCCACCTCCCAACTTGGCGCATACAACTCAAATCCAGTACAGCGCCACTGGAATAGTGTTTGTAGAGTATTTCGATATCTTAAAGGCTCTTCAAACTACTGTATTACTTACAGCTTCGGTCCCTCTTCACAAATTCTTACCACCAACCAAGCTGCATGCTTATTTTCCGACTCGGATTATGCTTCTGATGTTACAACTCGTCGGTCAGTAAGCGGTTTTCTTCTCATGCTTGGTGGCGGTCCTGTGTGTTGGCAATCGCGAAAACAAAAATCGGTATCAACCTCAACCACTGAAGCTGAATATGTAGCCTTGTCTGAAGCTGCTAAGCAGGCGATTTGGTTTTCTAGGTTTCTAAAGGAGCTACATGTGAGCGAGCTCATACACGATGATGGTATTCTCACCTTTTCTGATAACCAGGGTGCACTTGCGATTGCGAAAGGGACCAATTCTTCTAAAACTAAGCACATTGATGTTGCTTATCACTTCGTTAGGGAATGTATTCTTAATGGAAACATAAAGGTGTCTTACATACCTACAACTTCTATGCTGGCGGATATTCTAACTAAACCTCTTCCGCAGCAAAAAGCTAAACCACTAATTGAAAGGATTTTTCAGATGGTATAGCATTCTCGCATTCACCGCATTGATCAGGAGGAGTGTTGGAAATACAGTTTCCTGCTTTTCTTTCTATCGACCAATGTGGTTGCATGCATCTTGCCTGAACTATATTTCTGAGTTCGGGCAGGATCCCACATTTCTGATCCAATCGGACTCAACGTTAGAGTCTGCTTGAATCCCATTCTTCCCGAACAAATCCAGTCATTGGTTTGTTCGTACTTCTATTGCGTGACCCAGTATTCTCAGTCAGTGGATAATTATTTTCTGGTACGGGGTCCCACTTATTTATGCAGTCGAGTCGGTTCCGGGTAACCTCTATTTCTTATAATTCCACTGTATATATCATAATACCTGTAGTCTATTAGTAAATTAAGCAAACTGAACTTCTTCTCCGTTCTCAGGCAATTCTTACTCCGAAGTCTTCTCTATACTCTAACATTGTTACTACTTGCAATTGTTGAATAAATCTTTTGTCTTCAAACACTTCTGCTCAAGAATTCATTGGCAAATATTATTATAACGTATGAACGTTTAAACTGAACAGTTGATCTTCCTCAGCACTCGCTCACCAAAAGCAGGTTTAAAAGGCTTTGTTTGTCAAATGATAACTTCGCCACACTTGCACATAAGCACCGTGAGGGATGTGATGGAGCCCTGCAAGATTCAATCTGACTATCTTCTGTCTCAAGGGAAATGGTGTCCAAGCTATCCAGACCATACTTGCGAGGCCGACACGAATGATGTAGCATGCTAACATCTAGCCCTAACGGTGTTTGTAGTGTAGCCTTTATCCTATCATGTAAAGTCTTGACACGCACAGTGCTCTTTGACAAGTGATACTCCTAGTAAAAATATCGAAATTTCTATCCATTCTAGATTTTATCTACCACTAGCGTCATCTTTTCTGCTTGTCCTGATGTCTCCAGGGTTCAAATCGCAATATCTACTTTTCTAGATTAGCTTACCGCAAATTGCTTCTGCTGTGGGTATTCGTATTCCCGTGTACATAGTATAGAGTCGGTTGAGGACAAAGAATGATTCGTTAAGAGGTTTGGTCATCTAAATGAATTTGTAGGAGCACAAACTTGCAAAGTTGAAAGGGCTTCTTTCGGATCGATCTTTTGGAGGCTGAAAGACTGATTTGATAGGGAGTTTTCAATCATTACCTCATGATTCAACTTTTTTGATTTCACGAATTACGACTTAACTTAGTCTAGGAAGAATAAATGACTCCTAAATTCGTAGAGTATGCCGTTGACAAATGTTCAGTCTTAATGCTCATATCTACATGGTGGTTTATTAGATAGTAAAATGTGAGTACGGGGAGTACCAAAATTTGGTAGCAGCTCTCAGTAAATTTTGTGAACTACCTCTCAGGTGAAAATATGAATCAATTCTTGACTCATATTTTCGGTCCTGAAATCTCTAAATGCTGAGCTTCGATCAAGAACCAATACAGTTCCTTCTGACCAACAGTTGATCCAAAACTTCTTGACATCCACTTGCGTAGAGGTGGTGAATATTAGATCTGGCAGGGTAGCTCAGGAATTTAGGGTTTGAATAGCATGCGCTGGAAATAGCAATTGTATGTTTGTTTATTTTGTATTACTCGTACGTTGGGGCGCCAAGCTTTGGTTTAGGTCCTTACTATCCACTAAACTAACTAGAGGCATGAACGCCAGTGCTTACTGCCTTGGTGGCTTCGCGTTGCTACTTCCCAACCAGTTGTGCAAGGCAATTCTCTAATTACATGATAGCGTGTAGCGTAGAGCCTACACTGTAGCAGCTAGTCACCGAGGCTCTTCACTCCCTTTATGGTTTACACACATTCGCGATTGTAGATCGGTGGGGTCGGTATCTTGACTTAGTGCAACAGAATGTATGTCACATGATAATATTAGCGAAAGACAAACGGAAGTCTACCGATCCAGAACGTACGAAGGTAATATTATGATTACTTCATACAGTACGTTACTTCAGCGCGTCCCTGGAATACATCTTTGTTTTATTCAAGATGGTCTACGACTGGGAAAACAAGGAAGAAGTATGCTATCGCATGTATATTGAAGAGAAGAAATCCCTCGAGGATATCATGGAATTTATGAAGGAACACTACAAATTCAATCCAAGGTTAGTACTTCCCCCCCCCAGTAGAAACGCTCTACTGTCATTTACGCTGACCCTTCTCCTCTATAATAGTAAGAGGGCGTTCCAAACGCAGGTCGGTATTTAATTTTCCCCTCAATTCACCTTCCCCTTTATCCACACTTATACTAACTATGAAAATGAAATAGTTCAAAAAATGGGATTTTCCATCCAAGCAACACCCGGCCCATAAAAACTTAGCACTTGTGCAGCGCGTTAAAGAGCTGTGGGACTGTAACACCTCTCAGCGAGATATGCTTCATACTTTAAATAAAGAAGGATTCGAAATCAAGGAACGAGAGCTCATGCGGGTCCGGGCAAAAAATAGATGGCTACTTCGAGTTCCTAATAGCATTAAAAGCAAAAAGAAAACTAGTGATCATGATGTCATTTCTCAGTTACAACAAGCTCTTTATCCTGATAGGCCTGTAACAGACGGGGCGACTGATAGTGGAGCTCTGAATGAAATCTCAATACAAGCTCCGCTTGAGTATCCTAATGAAACAGTATCACCACCACTTAGCCCAGAAGTTATTAAAAAAAGACAAGAACGGCTGTCAAAGTTACAAGCAGAATCAGCCGAGCGCTGGGCCATGAGAAAGAGACGTCGCCGAACTCGTGGCTGGGCAGGCCTACCCGCCGATCCACCGGGCCCCCCGCGGTTTCCTTCAGAAACAACCATTGATGAAAGTAAAGTCTTTTTAAATCTTGACAATACCCTTTATCGCGATATTCGGTCTCATTTCCAGCGTATTTGTGAGGACTCGAATATTACAAAAAAGACAATTGCTGGTCCAGAAAGATGGGAAGCCGCTAAAGATAGGCTGATACAGGAGAGCCCACATCTGCGGAATTTATTCTGGACCAATGAAGAGAATCAAGATGTAAAAAAACTTGCTTTAGATGTAGTCTGCAGCGATGTTACGAAACGAATGCGTACCCTAGAGCGTCGAATGACTATAGCAGAAGCTAAGAATACCTTGAGCGTGAATCCCGAACAATCCCGACAACTTCGCAATTCATTTTATCAAGTTCTTAAAGCCGATCATTTTACCAGCAAGCTCGAGGCTGGAGAGCAACACTGGAAAGACTTAAAGTCCCAATGGGTGAAAGGCTCTGAACTTTTGCAGAGCATACTAGCCCCTGGTGATTCGGATCCCAATCACCAAGAAAAGATCAAGGCGATGGAGGTTCTCTGTAGAGACGTCATGAAACGCCTCCGCGACGACCAGACTAAACGTGATCCAACTAGGAGAAAGAACGTCTACTTTCCAAGCTCCACAAAAATTAACATATGTGATGCAGCAGCTCCGCCTGACTTTCACCTATTGCCTAATAATTCTGTAGTTAAATCAGTACTTCAAGAACAATCCAACCAAGCTCAGATGAATATTCCTGATTCTAGTAACTTTTCCCGTGTAGGTCTGAGTTGTATCCATGATCAGATTCAATCACAGCAACCAGCCGTTCGAGCACCAGACCAGTCACATGATCGGAGTATAAGTGAAAACAATAATCTACAAATTGATCCCTCTCTACTGTTGGCAGTAGAAAACGACAATTGCCTGATTGATCAAAATATGTCAGAGCAAATTCTGAATCCTCAGCACGCAGAATGTTACATCAATCAAAGCGACAAATCTACTCTTTCCTATTCATTTCCCTTTACTGCATACTTTCGAGCACATCCTGGGTCTGAAGTACAAACTAGTTCTAGTGTTTGGATTAGCACTGTAACTAAACTGTCAGTGGAAGAACTGCGACAGGCGGCTTCTGCAAAGTTTCCCGGTACATTTGCGTTGCGAATTGAGGGAGTTATAAAACAGATTTCCGATCCTATCCTCGAAGTAACGATTCCAATTGACCAGAACGAAGAACTTAGTAGTTATTTAGAAGCAATTCAGGGGATGAAGCCGATTTTTTCCGTTCAGTTAATATTCAATACATGGAAAGCGAATGATTAAGCGCTAAATTCTAGTCAGTATAAAGTATTACAGTTTAGCAAGGCCCAAATAGTGTCTGGATACGTGGAGATTCATAGCAGTTCAAGCGCCTTTTCAATAAAGTAATTTGTGGAAGGTTGAAGGACATATATACGGTGATGTCTATATAATCCCATTTTCCTGGGACTCGTATTTCTCTATGATCGAAAATAATCGTTGTAAATTTGAGGACCAGGAAAACTTCCTAGGATAATGAATATAAATGAAATCATTTATTTAAGGCAATTTGATCCAAATCTCAATTCACCGTTGAACAGTAAGAGAGAAAATTCTCAAATCGAATATCTCATCAAACTCACCGAAGGTCCAACGATCCGAATCTTTAGACTCCCAAAATTCCATACACGCATCTACCCGACAAGTAGTAGAAGAAAGTGACCTTTGCTTCAGGACCTCAACAAGCCATATATTTAGAAGATGGAAATTTCCTATAGCCATGTAGATTCATCAGAATATCTAATTACTGAATATAATTTTCATGAGATTTTTAGGTAAAAAAGATTTTGAACTTAATTTGATGCTGGTACGATGCCGGAATCTTCAAGATTATGACATACTTTTGTAATCTCGAGTTGTAATGATGTATGGACATGATGTGAAATCCACTATTTCCTCTGTTTTTGTCTGGAGACTTTCCTCTTAGACCAATGCTTGCAATTGCTTTTTATAAACGTGTATCGTAAATATGCGCACTACTTTTCAGAATTTGCTGCGGGCAGTATTTATATTTCAGGTATCGGCTAGAATACCTCTAAAAAAAAGAGCCGAATGATAATCGTCATTTGTTGTGTCCAGAAAATCTTTTTTACTCCGCATCATGAGGTTAGATAAGGTCAAATTGAGAATACTGTTAATGGATTTAATAAAACATGGGGCTCGATTTGGAATTATTATAAATTTCGTACCATATCGATATTGATCAGTTTTTGGACCTGGGCTTCGTACAGGAATCTCGAAGATATCGCTGAAATCTATGATTGACTGTATTTGAAGATATATTTGTAACGGTTCTGAAATCCTGCCTCCTGATATTTTAATCTTACATTGTTTCAGATTGCACCACACAGGTACAAGTGATTTTTTATTTGGTCTAATATATGAAGTATAAAGCCTGTGGACCTTGATTTCATCCAAAAGACCCATCCGTTAAATCGTCGGTATCATGGGTCATGTTGAAAAATGAAGGAAAATGATGCAATGACTCTGAGTTGGCTGGAAATAAATGATTTCCGTCTGTATATGTCTGCCTAGACCTGCTGCCGGGCATATCTGACCAGTTCTCGTCAAGAAGCAAACGCGAAATATCCATCTCTCCAATACTGTTGGAAAAAGGGACGGCTGCATTTTGATTCCAATCAGAAAATTGGCCAAATGATAAGCTCTCGGCAGGATCTGTAGAGGGATGTGAAACTAAAGTGCAATATGGTTCTGATGAAATTATTTCTTGGATTCGAAGACCTTCGCGGCTTAAGGGTGAGGTCTGGGGTTGTGTAGAGACTTGAGAATTAGATTTTTCTTTTAATAGGCTCTCGTTATTCCTGCCGTTCGTTTCATGTAAGGGCAAGTGAGTTTCTTTGACCCTACTTTCTGTTTTTTGAATAGAAAGTGCATTCTTACTAACTTTAGACTCACGGAACTTATCCGGAAATTTATTACGGAATCTATCTCTAAGGTCTGTCGGCTGCCTACTTTGCAGTTGTAACTTGGGGTCTTTCTGGATTTTTGACCATGCTGGGCCATAAGTATTATAGCCCTCAATAATTGCAGAATCCTCATCTTCAGTAAATTGTCTTCTCTCTCGGCGATTTGATTGTCTAATAGGTCCTTCAATCCCAAGCTGAGCGAGGTCTTCTAATTTTTTACGATGGGATCTCTTCCTGAGTGTTCTGATGGGAATAGAGTTTTTTACGGCAGAATTATCTGGGATAATCTTATTTTCGGTGAAAGTATTTTCGGACGTGAGAGCTGAATTTGAATTTATTTTCATTTGGCTAGACTTCTTTGTTCTCTCCTTTTTGGTTTTTGGAGAGGATTTCTTTCTCAATTCGTTGGGACAGCAAGTTCTCCACCGGTCTTTCAGATCTGAGGGTGACCTCCCATTGAAAGCAAAGTTGGAATCGCCCAGAATATCAGTCCAGCAGCCGACTCCATGCTTGTGAACGCCAAGTAAAAGCTGGTTTGTTTCATCGTCAGTCCATTTGTTTCGTGTTGCAACTATTTTAGGCTCTTGTAGTTTATTTGTTGCTGTGATACTCTTTTCTTCAGTACTCTCCTGTGTATCACCTAGTGTCTCCTTGCGTATACGAGCTCCGAGGGGAATGGTGTTCAGTGAATTTCTACCATGGCTATCGTGAAAGGAGCTCGAGGCTATGGGAGGAAAAAGTGTGGCTTGGAGCGGTGGTTCAAAAAGACCAATGATAATTGGTGGAACTACCTGCTTTGTTGCTTTCTGCTTCTTAGGCGGCTGAGGAAGTTGAACAAATTCATCCATGTTTGATTCAATCTGATGCCGCTTCTTACTTGTCGACGAGCTCTGAGTATCATTATCATCATCTAAAATGGTATGAAGTGATTGGCGTGTCAAGCCACCAATAGAACACTTTGCCACAGTGGAAACCACAGTGCAATTGTCTCTATCCGACTTGGTGATCTCTTTTTCCTTGAAGAGAATTTCTCCATTGTCAGTAGAAGCTGGCAACTTATTGTGGGTAGAAGCGATCTGTGAGCTTGGACTTGGCTTTTGATTTCGCTCTCTTGCATCTGGTTCAAGGAGCAATGGTCGACAGGGTACCTTTAGAATATTAGGATCATTTAGAGGGGGTAGCTCGAGAGATGGCGGAACTTCCAAGTCAGAGTGCGAATCATTCAGTAGGGCGATAAGATGAGGCTCAATGGTATTACTGCCGTTCATAGTAGGAGGAAGGAAGACTCGTAGGCATTGCGAGGAGTTCCGAGTATGTATGTCCCTTGCTCGCTCAGTAATTTTGCGAATCAACGTTTGTCGTTCACGATGTCAGACAAGCATTACCGATCAACAGCCTAGAAAATGGAAGCTATGTTTATGCGGACCAGTCTATCGGTTAACTCCTCGCTTGGATACCCCCATACCATCCCACTTCGCATTGATCGAATGCCCGTTTACAGTTAGGCGCAGCGTAATTTATCACCAGCATAAAAGGATTGGATGCTTGTTTGGAGTCAAGGGTATTATAGTGCATGTATAAAAATACAAACTCATTCATCTAGTCTGGAGCCCATGACCTAAACCTTTTATCTTTTTGGATGTAAGACTGATGGGGCCAGTCGACAGAGTGCAGGCGACGCTACGAATACCGCTGCGATTGGATAGTGTGGTGGTACAACATCTTGGGTGGTCTTCCCATTAGAGTGGATAACTTTTACACATTTCCCGCTCGAAACTGTAAATCGCTGAATCGAATCCAGGAAGACACAACCACATTTCTCTGCCGGCAAAGACGAATTCTTCACCTTCCAGTGGTGCCGGTGTAATCGCTCAGTATGCTCTGCATATCTGGGATAGCCAAGAAGAATCGCATTCGAATCGAAGTCGAAAGCAAAAACATGCATATCTCCATTTGACGACTTCTCAACCATGCAGCACTTATCATTATCTTCTGAGTCCTCAACCCCGATCTAACCACATATCAACTCGCCTCGCCGACCGATAAAGGCGTCACCCCAATTGCAAACAGGAGCTTGCCTCATTCATTACCGGCCATCACTCACTACAAATTTACGACGCTACGTATACCCGCAAGGAGGAAATCAAGTCGAAAAATACAAAGTTGGAGTCTTGATTTATGAGGGACTGCTGCTCTAATGGGGTTATACATCTTGAGGAAGAACAAGCGGCTGAGATGTGGAGCGAGAGAAGAAAGAAGCCTCTGAAGACCATGCTGGGACTGACATTTTCGAGGAGTTTTCAACTTTGGATTTTTTGTGGGCGCCAAGACCAAGATTTCAGCTAATTAGCCAGGAGGGCCTCTATTGTCGATGAGTCAACGGCACTCCCCAGCGCCCTGGACGGTATAAAAGAAGTTAGGCTAAGCTACTATACAGCAATCACGCTCTGTCAAGACTTTTCTGACATTTCAGCACGACTATCGGGAAGGAGTTGGAAGGAGGCTAGAAAGGCAGAGGGTGAATTTCCCGAGTTACCCACAAGTCTGCAGCGCCCAGGTGGTCGGCCTCTTCGAACGCTTCAGAAGGGGCAATGATAATGATGATGATATTTTATCGTGACCGGGTACTGACCCAGCACCCAGGGGGCATGGCACGGGTAGTCCAGATCTATATAAGACTCTTCGCTACCTACATGATTGGTTCATAGGAGCCAGAAATACAGAAACAAAACAAATAAAAAGAAAAAACACCATTTCTGAGGTGCTAGCGCCCTGCACTACACCTCCATCCTCGTACCACACTGAGCGGCCCTAGGAAGCAATACAGCTGACATTTAAGTTCCCTGTTTATGATTCAATTTTGCTGTAACATTTTGTTACAGTTAGAAAGCGCCAGAATATCTGCCATCCTTCTTGCCCTATCATATCCCTTGTTGTAGGTCGTGGTTCCTTCGTTTCCGCCCTCCATTTCTGGATGGTCGGGCGACACTCTGCAAAATGCCATGGCCGTTTCTCTCGTCCGCATTTGCATCGCATTTCTTCATTCGGATGTTGAAATCGTCTGTGATAGCTAGCGAAATCACCATGCCCAGTCCTTGCCGCAATGAGGCGGTGATATGCCCATCGAGGTAAAGCTAGCTCCGGAGGGCGTTTTCTTCGCATCAGTAAGTCCAGATCTTCATACCCGTCCGATCTAATTTTATGCCACCAATCTTCCGCGAGTTTCTGTACTCGTATTGTGACTTGGCGTTTAAGTGCTGCGAATGTCAGGACTTTGTCAGATTCCTCCTGAGTGCACTCTGGTCTCGGGATATTTCC